TATCGAGCTTAAGGACCATCCTAAGTTCATGAGCTAAGCAGTCCGAAATTCTATAGATGAAAAGAACAATACACGTCGACAGTGGGGTCAAGAAGTCGGGGACGATACGGGTAGCTGCGGCAGGCTACTTGCAGCGGGCGTCAGAACGAGAAAGCTGACGTTCGTGATATGCGGAATAACGTAGGCACCCGCGCCCACGGGTCCGGAGTTTATTAATAGGCTACACGTTCTCGGTGTAGGTTAGGTAGGTAGGTAGGCGTAGACGTACGCCAGTTTAGTTCCGGTATTACCCTGGAAAGAAATGCGTGGGGAGTTTAGGGTTTGAGTTTGCGATAATCTTAGGTTACCTTGTTTTACGATGAGATGAGATGAGATCGTATAGCAAGGTTTTGCGAGGGTTTTCCTTAAGAGTGTTATATACACTACTTACTCTTGATTCAAAGACGGCATGCTTATTACTTGGTCCGTTGATATTATTAAGTAATACCTATTCCGAATTCAAGCCTATTATACATCTCATGTATCGTGTTGTATGTCGTTAAAAGGTATGCTGTATAAACTGGATAAGGCTGGCTACTCGTCCTTCCAGGCGTGAAGCTACCTAAGCTATGGTATACGCAATACCGAAGTCCTTCAAGATTCAAATTCCGAATATACAAATTAGATAGATTCCTACCGACAATTATCTTCCCCAGAAAAAAAACATGCTCGCTTCGGAGCTCCGGAGGTCATGTCATCGTGTTTGACTACGAACCTCCGTTTATTTTTCAATATAACCATGAGCCGATCATTGTTTTACCATGTCATACAGCAGGACAATCCAGATCCAACCTTGGGAATTCCGAGATGCCCGTTATCAATCAAATAATAGGTAATAAACAGCATGCATGCTCGTGATCCAATATGGTAGCCAATATAAAATGTCCGTTCAATAGACCACAACATCCAATCACGTGAAACGAATATCATATACTTTTCTTACATTATCGCTTAGCCGCCGCATACATGGAGAGCGGTCTTACTCGGCCTTCGCATTTGCAAGATTGACTACCTACCTACATATACTGATCAGCAGGGGCCCCTAGCATACGGAGGCGAAAGTATGCTGCTGCTCCTTAGGTGCGTCTGTCGTCTGAAAGGAAAGAAAAAAAATTATATTCTTGGACGGGTAAAACCTTGATTTCTGAGTGATCGGGGGTTGCGACATTCTCAGCCTATGTAGGAGTGATAGAAGACGTCTGTGGCTTCGGGTAGCTGGAAGGTTATCTCGTTTTCAGTTGTCTTGTGGGCGTCTTTCTCTCGACAGGATTAGGTAGTGAAGATAAGCCGATGTGGGTGGGTGTGTGCCAGATGCCAGTGCAGAGTTGCATTGCCATTGGGGGCTACCGCGCGGCCAATACACCATCATTATTTCCTCTATCGGTAGTGTTTCCAAAAATGAGAGGCCAGGCTGCATATGGTTGTCTCTTAGTCAGGACTGGTTGAGCAAGACCATGGTCGTATTTTGCGACCCGCTATGCATGGGAGAACTAGGACAAGGAGGAGTCGAGTCCGTTTGGTAGGAATTTCTACGTGAGAAAAAAGAAGATTCAATGTTCGGGAGAGACGGATGCATATGCTATCCCATCTACCCATGCGTGTAGTATGAAGGAGATACCTAACTGCACTCTTTTGAGTTTGGTTCCAACTTAAACCGACCGATGCCTATCAGGGGGGACGGACTAGACTTAACTACATATGTAGATGTGCGAAGCTATTCGTTGCCGTGTCACGAATCACACAAATACGACCTCTCCAAGTGACTTTAGACCGACCTTTTGGGAACTCCTTACTTAGATGGCCATATCATACAAGCACTTAGACACGGGTTAATCTAGCTGTACCTCTTCCATAGAACAAGTTAATATTATTAGTGTATTCCCGCAGGGTAGATCTTGGCGATATGTATGCAATATGCAATATTCTTTTGGCCCTGTGCTGATCTCTGCGTGGTGGTGGATGACACCAAACTTGTTCAGGAACGATGACGAGTTGTTGATGGTGTCCATTCGTAATCACATCGGAGTCTAGGCCGAGTCTCGCCAAAGCTAGCCGCAGCTTTTGTCGCTCTTCTGCTCGGATAGGATAGGAAATAGTAAAATGTGGAATTCGGTCAGCGTTGTTTTACTTGATTGCCGAATGCGGAAGTATAGCCCTGGTATATTTCTTAGATTTCTTCTCGATGATGAGATAAACCGGGCCTTTTTCAACAAATCTATTAAAACAAGTGTTTGCCAGTGAATTCTCCGGATTTTAAAAGAAATCTTTCTTGCTTAGAAAAGAAACCCAAAATAATATTCACTTGAAATACGTCGGAACATTGACATAATTCCCGGGCTTCCGTTTTCTGTAAAATACTATGTATTTGATCTGTAAGGGCGAAATTTCTTATTATTACTCTCGTTCACACGCGAGCAAAGAGGTGGTGGAATGGAATGGTAATTCGTATTCCCCATGGTGACGATTCAATGGGGGCAGTGCCAGCTTTTCCCCACCTCCGCTTTTAGGCAAAGGACAGTTAGGGATCGGTCGATCACGGCAGGGCCAGAAGCTATGTAGTATAGAGCCTACAATTAGTACCTGATGGGTTGTTCGACTTGACAACTAGAATGAAAGTTTTCTGCTGCAAGCTCTTTAGCGTTGTCGATGTGTTGGTTAGAGGACTTATGACTGGAACCGAATTAAACACGTCGAGTACCGAAAGAGATCCCTGACTTGAGTTTTATATTGTGAGGCGAGGTTGATCTTATTATCTACCTAGGTACCTACGCTACCGAGGTAGACAAATGATGAAATCTTTAAGCGCTTTCTACGTGTAAAAGGTAGATGAGTAATAAAAATCAAAGGCCACAGTGGTGTTGCAGGAAGCGAAGGTAGTTTCTTTTTGAATGAACTGGTTGGTTGGTGGAGTGATGATATCTGCCCAGCCATTATCCCTGTTTAAGTCTGTCTCCGCTATCGATAGCCTATCTTGACCTATCCTAGGCCGAGATGTACGAGATGTACGAGGTACGTACCGCATATGGGAACTGAACTAGAAACATTCCCGTCTATACTACTTCGTACCCTTGTCAGGCCACCCACGCTGACATGCATCTTTGCCTCTTCTAGGGCCACATTAAGAAAGACATCAGGTATTGGAAGATTCCGTGAGACTGGGACGAGATCGGTCGTTTAATGTAATTCTTCCCCGTCCTACTTCGACTTATTACACTACTTCTTTCTCTACTACACATTTACGCCTTTCACTCGCTGTATGGCAATCTATCCAATGCGTTGTCTCTATTACACTCGCTTTATATCTACCTAGTATTCATTCACTTATCAAGGCTTCAAGGCTTCAAGGCCTCAAGTCTTCTGCAGAGTACACTAATACGTCGTCTAATTTTTATGTGAATTTCAATACAATATCTACAATACCTGCAATACCTGCAATACCCAATCGGCGATCTACCATACTCGAGGCTTGCAGAGCTATACGAAACAGATAGACAAGTTAACAAGCCAACTCGTAAGCGTCAATTGTGACAACTCGACAAGCAGCCCCTCGATCCACTGTTCGATTTTCCTCTTAGCCCTCCTCCCCAGGTCGCATAACTGGCGGAAGGATAGAGCGAATCCCTACCTTCAGCGATCGTTTCTGAAACAACCCATTACTATTTAAAAATTGGCGGCAGCGGGAAATCGCTAATTGACGTCACCAAAATTTCATCGTCATTCTCAATCGCACGTGTAAGCCGTGCAAGAATAATCGTCTGATCTAACTCAGTTGAAGTTCGGCAGCGGCAGCAACGGGTACAACGGGTACCACGGATGCAAACTCTCTTCAATAGGAGATCTCAATCTATAAAAATTCAATCGTTAAAATCATCCAATAAATCAACCAATCATTCGACTTATCATTTAGTTAAGTGACTTCGGTCGTACCACTGGGGGATTCACTTACATACCAGCATACCACATCTGGCCGTTTGAATACCACATACGGGTACATACCCGCCCACACAAAGAGAAATAGATCGCCAAGGCACCGGAGTTGATACGTATTGTGTGCAATACGACAGTCGAAGAACGAGTGATTTTGGTTGGTAGTCAAGTTGTTATTCGGTCAGGTTCTGATCTTATTCTATTGGACAAAGCCATTGGCATCTGGCGAGGCAACGTAATTGCTGGCACTGCCCAGAAACGCCATTATTACCCTTGTCCTGGACTTGTATCCCAGCCACGCGAAACCACATTTCCTTGAATTTGGCCCATCCTGAGACGACTAATAAGCTTCGAGGTACCGTACCTGATCCATCACTCACCACCCACCACCCACCAACAGTCCTGTTGACATTAAGAACTTGCAACCCGCATAAGAAAAAAAAAGATAGCAACGCAAGCAACGCAACCACCGCCTGATCCTGCATACCAGTACTCTACTTAGTCAGTGCGAAGGTCGCACAACACCACGCATAGCCATTACATACAGACATACAGAGACGCCATACATATTGTAGATCAGTGTCCTGCATCAATATTTCTGATAAGACGAAAAACAACCAAATCCGAGGTTCCGGGCCCCGATAGTCTTGTCAGATATCAAGCCGCTTTTCACTTTGTCTAGCACAGTGTTGATTAAGGTCTTTGAAGATCTTAGTCTTTGACTGACAGAGATACCCGGGAGACCCGCACCAGTTACCGCTTGCAAGGGTCACTCACTGCTCTTATCGCAAAAAGAAAAGAAAGGAAAAAAAAAAGTAGCTACACATACCTTACAGCAGCTGAGCAGCAGCCCGTCTGCGATAAGAAAAGGCCGTCAAATTCAAGATTACGCTTTCCACGATCGCTTCCTTGCATATCACAATCGAACGCCGATCCACTCGCCCATCGTTTCTGGCTTCTCCGTCTCCACCAGTGGACAATCTTTTTCAGGGATCAAGAGCGATAAAACATTTGGCCTTTGCCTATCCGAGACAATGGCGTCTACAAGTTACAGCCATCACCCTCTGCCCACGCCGCCGCAGCAAGGGCAATACCGCGACGAATCTTACCAACAACAAGTTCCCGTTCCTCCACATCACTACTATCAACAACAACAGCAGCAACAACAACAACAACAACTAAGGCAGCAGCAACGGCAGCAGCCAGTGATACCCGTAAAGCCTTCCGAGCCGCAGAAACCAGAGCGGGTCCGACCGAAGTCAAGAGCGTTTAGTTTTCGGTCCGATAAATCTCACAGGAGCTCGAACTCTCATAACAAGAACAACAACAACGCTCATGAGACATCAGCCGAGAAGGAAGCCAATCGACTTCACGGCAAAACTGACCCTACACTAGCTATGACTGAACTAGAACCATGTGCGTTGCCATATCTTTCCCGAACCGTATATTTAAACACTTGACGGCGTATACTGACCTGAAATATAGCTATGGAAGCGCAATCCAAAGGGGGTATTAATCCGGCCTCCCTGCGCTCCTTCCAACACAAGGATATTTATGGCAACCCAATTAGTCAGTATAATGTCTATATATCTAGTTATTTCTAATGCTAACCGTTGTTTAAGCCGATCCCGACCGATCGAATCCTACTCGAAGCCGATCGGAACGGCCTCTTGATACCATTCGAGCTTTCGAAGCTGCCATTGATGGCGCATACAGCCGCCAATCAGATACTGCGTCAGTAGCTAATTTTAGCAGGCGAGGAAGTTATTACGGAAGTGAGCAATATATCTCTCCATCACCCTCACCTAATTATGTGTACACCATCTCACAGAAGACACCATTAGACAACGGTCCGCGCTTTCCCCAAGATAGTTACTACGGAGGTCGACCGAATTCTGGGTTCCGACCAGAAAGTACGATGTACGATCCCAGACAGGCCGTAATTAATCACCGAGAAAGCTACCACGAAGGATACGAAAACGCTCCATACGGTCATGGTAACCCGGGTCCGAGAAATAGATATTCGAGAATGCAGTCCGATCCGTACGCGAACCCCCGTGTGGTTGTCGATAAGAACGTCTACCCCATGCCGAACAATCACCGCTCGTATGAGACAGTTGCGTCCGGTTCCGGTAGTGGAAGTTTAGCTGAGCCGGCGGGATATCAGACTGATCCCACTAGTAGCGATAATAGTTCAATCGATCGCCGTTCGCCACCAAAACGACAGGAACCAGTAAACGACTATGGCATTAGCTTTGGTCAGGCAACGCAAACCCCAAATCTGGGGCTCGCACCACCTAATCCACGTAAAGAGAATGGAATATTAAGGAAGCCATCAAAAGCTGCGGCACCTAGCGGGCACTCGGAAGAGCGACCACAGTCGGAGAAGCGAAAGAGTTGGTTTAAGCGATTTGGGAAATCCTAGGCCTATTAACGAACGAGTCGATATTGCTTCTGCGATGGAATTATTCACACATATTAATGCCTCTTTTAAGATACCCCTTGTCTCTACGACATCCGACATTCCCATGAATAATTTTTTTATGTTATAACCCCGATCGGGGTGCAATTCTAGAAGATACAGTTTTGACGATCATTGATGGACCAGAGGTTATGGATTGACCCGGATATGTGTACCCTAAATGTTGAGTAGGGTTCGAAGATGAAGTTCATAAGGACGAATTTTGCGACATTAAGCATCTGGTATGGTGTTTCTTACTGAAACGTCGCATTTGCGGGCACGGGAGGAGGCTTTGGTGAAATATGAATATGATAAGGTAGCATCAGAAAGGGGAGTTGGAGTTGGTGGAGGGTTATGTTCACGATGTTAGGAATATTTGGAGGATCGGGCGAGATTCCTCGTCTCATAGTCTATCGTCTATCCTTAATACCCCTATTCTTCATGACCCCATTACGGGCGGATATATGCGAGTCCCACGTGGTATGTGGAAAAGGGATCGGACAGGCAAGGGTATACCGCACTCAGTGGCTTACCAGAAGCCATCCGTTAGAATACAAATGTCGCATTTGACTCATTTGACTGGATGTCAATTTCACAATATGGCATGGCAAACTCTTCCAAGCGTAAATCCTTATCAAACCTACGGGAGAATAGTACTTACGAAATAGGCCACGTAACTAATAAAGATATTACCAAGGAGGAATTCCGAATACAAATGCTTCCATTTCCGAGGTGGTATCACTCGTAGTGATGTTAGCATGCTATGTGCTAAATGCTTGTAACCGAAGGCACATATGTGTGGTACCTAAGGCATGATTCCTTCGATTTTTCCGGGCTGAGATATGGTTTTGGGAAAGACATAGACCGCCGTTACTTTCCTAGCGTGTTTACACATCTAGTTAATAAGTCTAGCCCCCCGAATATAGCAACCCATAGTGAGAACAACTTCCCATATAACTAGAGATATCTTGAAGTAAAGTTCTTGGATATCTTTGATTAATCCTTCTTCCCCTCCTTCTTCTTCGCGGCCAGCTGTTCTGACTGGTCTTCATTCATGGCTACAATCACGTAGCCTACAAGGACAACGTTTGCCATGATAGCTGCAAGGGCTCCCGCGTACGTGGAGTTCCCTAGGTAGTCAATACTTGTTAGCGCGCTTGGAAAGAGTAATGTAGTAGGTAGATTGATACGTCGCGTGGCTAGGTACGTATTATGCAGTGCTTGCAAACTGGTGAAGATAAGAAAAGAAAACAAGGATATTATAATGGAGGAGGAAGGGACATGGGCGGGCGCTTCGGCTTTACCTTTGAAGATGGTGTTCACTGTTAAGAAGTAAGACCCAATTGGTATGACTACCATGGCGAAGGTGAAGGCTAGCAATTTGATAATTACGTCGCTATTGGCAGTGTTAGATTGACTAACTATGCTATTTCACGTTCGTAATAGGGGGGAGCTGGCTGAGAGTAAGGAGTAAGTCTAGAAGGCAAGAGGGTTGATGATGTTATGAGACAGTTAAACGTTCGGTGAACTCGACTTCATTTAGGTAGGCACTTACATTGGAACGGCTGGCGCGGTGCTGCTCGATTGTTCCTGCCCGGGGGTACTGTCGTCATCTTTGTCGAGGATGGTTTTCTGTGTGGAAACGATACGACGAGTAGCCATTGTCTTTCGTATTTCTTTTTTTTCCTCTTCTTTTTCTCTTTGGGTTTGATTTTAGCAATTAACGTCGGCAGTTGTTTTAACTGCTGCTGCTGAGATTGTTATGTTAACTTGGGTAGGTAGCTGTGAATTAACAATCTTATTGTGGTTTGTACTGGTTGTACTGAGGCTCATCTAGACACGGCAGCACGGGTCCTGGCATCAGTGAGGCTCAAGGAATTGATGGATAAGAGTGGGGCTTCTATGTACCTACGTATATTGGTCTATTCAAAAGCTGCCTGTTTTAAGGTTGGCTAGCAGTATTCCGTACATAAACTTCAATTATTACCTTCAATGGGATGTAGCCGGTAGGTTGGATGGGCCGATAACAGAAGGAGCTTTGACCTATATCACCCTAGGATTTACATAACTAGTGTATATACGTACCCGACGTATAAAGATACCTAGGTACCTATTGAGCAATGTACCTACCTAAGTATCTTGTTCCTCAATCTGCGCACCTTTTGATCTAGCCTTTGTCCATTGAAACAAACAAAACCGGAAAATATGATGAATGGGTGCATATCCACAATCAAAGTCTCTATATCTTCAAAAAATGTCCTTCTAATTCTCAAGTATTCGGTTCAATATCTCTGTCAGCATACGGTCCAGGTACGAAATCAATTAAACTTTTTTATGTACCGTCAGCTGATAGCGCGCCTGTAGCGCTGGCGGACCCATAATTTACCGCGTCAAGGCGCGTGCACCCACTTTATCTCCTGTGCGTTTAACGTCGAAAAAAGAAAAAAAGTCACTTTTATTTTTAATCTAATAACCTTCCTAAATCCTCTGTGCCAACCTCTCCAGTTTACAGACTCGTATAGCCCACCCACAGACCGTTCATTCTAACGATATCTAGCTCTCGGCATGAGCTCTCGCCTGATTGCACTTGCCTATTCTTCTTCACAGAATCATCATTCATTCACGATAAATAATCAAGCCTACCTACCTACCTAATACTCTCTTATCTTAACCTCAAGCCAGATATCTACATTGTGAAACTACTAGTCCCTAGTACGATATATTACTTCCAAGTATCCGTTCTTTAAAATGGGACGGCCATCTCCGTCGATCTCGGGCAAAGGCTCTACCTCAATCCCTGGTACTCCAGGATTAAGTCGGAAAGGCCAGCCCAGCTGTCGAGCACAGGGCTCCAGCGCGGTGTATATTGAGATAGATGATGATGACATCGACGAACTTGCTAATGATGGAGTCTCACCGTATTTCACTCAGCCAACGCAAATAGTTAACAGAGCTACTCAACCTACTCAAATAGTAAACCGAGCTCCGCAACTGCCATCTTCTCCTTTGGTGCCTGATACGCCACGTACAGCTATTGAAGTGCCTGCTTCGTCTCCATTCCAGGCCGAGAGTCGGGCAAAGCCCTCGGATGTACTAGTTAAGAAGCCTGGAGTAGCAAGTAGAGTAGGATCATTAATGGCGCCAGCGGGAACGTCATTCAGACCACCTACGATGCATAAACCACCGCAGAAAGCTGGCGCTTCCGCAGGCCGGCGAGACTATATAGATATATCGGATGATGATCTATTAGAGGACTATAAGAAGCAGGATAGCTCAGATGACGAAACACCCACTCGGGGGGATATACGCCCTTCATCTTTCGCGAAGAACCCATCGTTCCCGGTTTCGAGAACAGGAGCTACGTGGTTTGAAAATGCGGACATCTCTCTTAATGATATTCGTGATATCAGACTTCGGCACTTGACAAGTCAAGTCTACAAGATTGTCCAAAGGGCTGTACCTGGAATTACCATTCGGGCCTGCAAGGAAGCATTGCAGAAGGATGTCGGCTGGCAAGTTTCGAAAGCCGTGGATTCATTGACGGGAAGGCCAACCAAGTCTCTTTCGGTGTCGAAAGCTACAAGTGCATTGTCCAACAACACCTGTAACACTGCAAGCACTAAACGTGCACCTGGCGACGATGAATACCTCGCATTGACCCCCACCTCTTTAGATACCTCAGGGTGCGATGCCCCTCGAAATAGTTTGCAAACTTTTTTGAAAAAGCTTCCAACTTCTGCAAATTCAACCAAGTCTTCTTCTCAAACTTCAGTACAACTTTCTCGCACACAAAGTTCGAGCAACTCAATTCTTTCAAGCAATTCAATTACATCAAACACATCTAACAACAATCCACCTCGCAGACGTCTTGTACAAGGACGAAAACATTCTTCAACGCCATCTGCAATATTCTCTATATCATCTTCACCTACTTCAACTATTACTAGTCTAACACAATCAAGAGAGTCATCGCCAGACGACAGTCTCGATATGAAGACCAGATCATCTGCTGCTCAGGCGGCTGCGTCTAAGGCAATGCCTCGCGGTCGCCGACTCATGCAGGGTCGTCGCAATAAGACTCCCGATCCTGATTCAGATTCCGAGTCAGACTCACTCCCCTCTATAACCCGACTTGCTCAATCTCGTAAGAGACAATCGGGTGTAGAAGATCTACCCCCAATGAAGAAATCTAAGATTGACAAGAGTGAGATTCAATCGCGAAAGAGAGGTTCGGATCAATTAGAGCCTGAAGCTTCCGACCTTCCTACCCCCCCTAACAAGAAGACAAAAGTTGATACACCCAAGAAGCGTAAGGCTGATGAAGAACTTGAGCGTGATGAGCTTAAAGCGGACGAGGTTTATGAAATCTCTGACGAAGACTCTAACCCCGACCCCGACGAACTTGTGGAAGATCTCTCTAATGTCCTCGAGTATCTCAACACCTGTGCTATTGAGAATCTGGGCCGCATGATTGGTTCTACAGCAGACGCCCAGCTGATGGGCAGTTCTCGTCCTTTCAAGTCTATTGCCGATGCCGAGAAAGTCTCGCGACAGGACAAGGCCAAATCAAAGAAGAAGATTAGAATGGTCAACATCGGCGAGAACATTGTAGAGAAGCTGAAGTCCTGGTTACAGGCATGCGAAGCAGCAACAGCTGTCATCGACGAGTGTGATAGAAGAGGAGCGGAGATAAATAGTATCATGTCCACCTGGAGTCTTGATAAGAATGGCGAGTCCAAAGACGAGGCATCTACTCTGGTTCGGCTACCGATTGAAGAGAAGCCCGAGCTGATGGCCGAGAACATCAAGCTCAAGTCCTATCAGATGGTTGGACTCAACTGGATGGACTTGCTGCGCAGAAAAGGTTACGGCGGCATTCTCGCTGACGACATGGGCCTCGGCAAGACTTGCCAGGTCATCTCATTCATCGCTCACCTAGTCAAGTCGGAGCGCAAGCCGGGTTCTAGACCGCCTTGGCCGAATCTAATAGTTGTGCCGTCGAGTACCTTCGAGAACTGGATAAAGGAATTCGAAACCTTTGCCCCTGGTGTCTCGGTCTTGGCGTACACAGGCTCAAGCCGCAGAGGGATCTCTCCTAGAACTGCAAAGCAGCACCACGTCGTCCTAACCACCTACCCGCAAATTGAAAGACAGCGCGAGGACCTTAAGTTCCTCCAAGCTATAGAGCCATATGTTTGTGAACCCATTCCATTTATGTATATGAGCTTGACTAACTAATGTTTAGGCCGCCATATTCGACGAGGGCCACAAACTCAAGAACCAGAGCACCCTCATTTATAAGCAGATGATGCGGGTACCGACTGAATGGCGCCTTATCCTCAGCGGTACGCCTGTACAGAACAATCTAAAAGAACTCCTCACCATCCTCCGCTTTATCGAACCCGACATGTTCGACAAGGACAAGTTCAATGCGCTCAATACAATCTTCGAAGCCAAGGTCCCCAGCAAAGATGTTCTTAACTTTGCAGCGCTTGCGTCAGAACGTGTTGAACGTGCCCGTGCAGTCATGGCTCCATTCATTCTGCAGAGACGAAAGGAAGAAGTCCTCGCTCTACCTCCTAAGACGGAGCGCCTCGAAATCGTGGGGATGCATGAAACACAGAAAGAGATCTATGATTCGATCAAAGGCAAATACGTACTACCGAACGGCGTCAAGAAGGCTAAAAAGGATGCGCACCAATGGGTGTCACTCCGAAAGGCGGCAATCCACCATCAACTCTTCCGTCATCATTTTACCGATAAAATGGTCTTGGAGATGGTAGATATTTTGTGGAAGCATTATCCTGCTAAGGAACTCGGTGTCGAGGACAAAGACGAGCGCTACAAGAAACGTTTCACGGATACTTTCTTGGACAAGACCGACTTCCAACTGCACCTCGACTGCAAATATTTTAAGCGAATCCGACATTATGATGTTCCTGATCGATCATGGGAGGATAGCCCCAAGGTCCAAAAGCTCTTAGAACTTGTACGCGGCTATATGAAGAACGGTGATCGTGTATTGGTATTCAGCCGTTTTGAAATTGTGGTAGATATCCTACGAGAAGCTCTACACTATGCGGATATCCCGTATTGCTGTATTACAGGAACCACCGATACGGCAGATCGGTTCCCGGAGATTCAGCGCTTCACGAACGACCCCGATATCCCCGTTTTCCTCATTACCACTGTGGCTGGTGGCACTGGACTGAACCTTACTGCGGCGAACAAGATCATCCTCTTCGATCAGTCGGATAATCCGCAAGAAGACGTGCAGGCATCCAACCGTGCCCACAGGATCGGACAGACGAGACCAGTAGAGATAATCCGTTTCATCACAGAGAAGTCGGTAGAGTGCCTCATCTACAACTCGTGCGTCAAGAAGCTAGTCCTTGCTGCCCGCGTCGAAAGAGTCTGGGGCGTAGAAGAAGAAGAGGAAGAATCTGTGGAAGAGCAGTGCAAGAAGCGTATGCTCTTGGGAGACGAAGAATATAAGCCGATCGACCCACCTGAAGTGCTTGAAGCACTTGAGGTGTCTGGAGCATCCAAGGCTACCAAGTAGTCCTAGTTCGAGCCCGCTACCACGCCCATCTAAAACGGCAGACTACCTTCTTCGAAAGGCCTCTGCCGGATCATACGATGTATGATATGCATATACGTTATTAGCTCCCGACATTGGCTCTTTTCATTAGGACTCGTCCTTGGGTTCCTTGTCGTTAGATCTTGTTAGATCTCATCGTTAGTATCGTTGTCGACTTATCCGACAACCCACGTCTTTTCCAGCTAGCAAGAAAAAAAGAAGAAAAAACAGGGAAAAAAAAAAAAGGTCTTCCTATGACACACATATTGAGGCATGATACACGACATGTCAAGAACTCCTTTTTATTCCTGGCTTCTGCAGCATATACCTGAGTAGTCGCCATTGTCTGAGAGGGTTGATACCTCAAAGAGCAACCGTCTTTACAGCACATACCTGTATTGACTCTATTGATCAGAGATACCCGATCTATTGGAAGAACATTGTTTGTCTTCGCAACACGTACCTGCTCAGATCTCACAATCGAGTATTTCGCACACAATCCCGACATTCTATTTAAGCATACGAAGCACATCTGCTATCTTCCGTCAGAATTCATCGGCTAGAGAGCCTTTGTTCTCCGAAGATCTACGAATGGACTCGAACATCATAGTACCATTCTTCTCCCGGACAATCACCACATCATTTATTACGATACACATTTGGACTGTGACAATACACAATCCGCCTATGATTAGTTTGGGTGTCTGTTTTCTGATGGACCTATTGCATACTTCGATACCTTATACAACCTCTATCAATACTCGATGCGCCATGTCACGGCGCAACCTACCTAGCATCACCGCCCGTCATCGCAGTATGTACCTGCCCTGACCACATCCGTCAACATGTATCACCGTTCAAAACGTTTTTAAGCAGTGCATTGTGTACTTTTGCTTACCAATATCCCATGAGGGAGTACCTAAACTATCCACCACAGTAGCGAGTGCCATCCTTATCAGGATTTTAGGCTGGGGGCCTACTTTCCCGGATGGACTAACTGGATATGCGACACGACATGAAAGTGATTCCATATTCCAGGCCATCGTTTCTCTTTGCAGTATATACTTGCACTGACCTTACGAGCGAGAAGAGAGCATGGTACCTTGGGTTGCTACCGACCCGTTTACGATGCAGAACACATTTACCTTACCATAATACCACGAATAACCACACCCCCACGATGTCACGAAGCCGGAGAAGATACCCCGAACCCACACCCAAGTATTTTGGTTGGGGCCAATTTTCCTGGCCGAGTTTAAGACTAAATATATACTTGGCAATACAACACGGCCTACCTAAAGAATACCGAGAAACTATCACCTCATTCTCGTACCCTACGACACCACACTACCTTATCAACGAGAGAAGACACCACGACCTCTCACTGTTAACGCCACGGCACTTGGGCATATATGATAAAAGGGCACTAACATAAATGAGCCCATCCTTCAACCCAGAATAAGGCCCACATATACACATCCAGCGCGGGAGACGATCAGCGTAAGAATTGTATTTTTTTTCTTTTGCCAGCGTTACCAGCGTTACAAAAGAAAAAGAGAGAAAAGGAGGCACGTATAGAATTGTACGAAGTGATACCCCATAAATATAGACTATAGACATAATAGAGGGCAACGGCCATCCCGTGCGGCATTGTACATACATGCACACATACATTACAGCATTAGCTTAGGCGTTGGGTTAGGGCTGAATGATCATTGAGCAGATTTCTGGATTAAAAATCAATTTCCCCAGTCTTGTATCTTTAGACTTGTGATATAAAAAATTGTTTTTTCCAGTCGTGAGCTTCGCAACATGGAATTATAAAAGTGACTTAAAGCATACCTAGGCACCCAGGTACTTTTATCTACGTTGCCCAAGGTGATTGATTGATTGATCTAACTTGAGCTATGGGATGTAAATCGGAAATTGTTCAAAACCAATATAGATGGGAAAGAAGTATTTTAGGTGGTATGTAGGCCAAACTCGTCGCTTAACCGAGTTGTTGTGTCATTCGCTATGGTATGGGTAGTAAGTACTACTGCTGGTATTCACATAGTATCATAACCCCCGTAGGCGTATATAATATCCTAATCTCCCAATGCACCATTAATTACATCTCCACGTACAACACACTACCGGTCCCCTGTCCCCGGTCCCCCTTTTCTAAAGCTAGGTAGGTACCCAAGTCATGCATAGGTTAGGTAATATTCACATATCCATCCACCTATCCGTCTCAAGGTCTTTTTACCTGAGCGCGGAGCAGAGTATTTAAATACGGCTTGGAGAAAGCCTCGAGCCCCGTAGCGCCGACGTGGTCCGGCACATTGTTGGCGAGCGCGGGCTCCATGGAGTGAATCAAAGTGCCAATGTCGATGGGCTCGTCGTCCTCAAGCTCGAACCAAGGGGGGCCGCGGCCGCGGGCGACGCGCATGGCGGCTTCGAAACCGGCGCGCATGGCTGGCATCACCCCGATGCTCGTGTAGCTGGGGCCGGCCACGGTGAGGTGGCCCTTAAAGACGTCGAGGAGGTCGTAGTGCGCGGCTTTCATGCGCTCGTGGTGCCCTACGTAGTGTTGTGGCAGACATTCGCGGCATAGGCGCACGTACGAGACGGGCTCTTCATCCACGGGGATGTTGAGATGGCGCTGGACGGCTTGCAGAGCCATCGCGCGCCCCATCTCTTCGGTTGGGTAATGGGTCCAGCCGTCCCAATAGTGGCCGCCCAGCATTACGGTGAGCTTTGTACCCGGACTATTATTGCGCATCTCGATTTCCGAATCGAAAAGCACGCCTAGTACGCACTCGTCGTTGTCGGGTGTCGTGGTTGGTACAAGGTAACCGAAGCCGCGATTGTCTCCGAGCAGGTCTGGATTTGGGAACCAAAGATTAACAACCATGATAGTTACGGCGTGAGTATCTTCCAGGGAGGGGAGACTATGTTTAGGTTGAACCAGTTCGGCGAGATGCTTGGAGAAAAGGGTGCTGATTACTTGGTCGTATTGCCTCGTTTGTTGCCGCTTTTCTTTGTTCGCCGTAATCGTTGAAGCTACCTATAGAAGTTCAGCATCAGAGCATACTTCTATATAATACTCTTGGGTGAGTCCAGAAAGCCTACCGACACTTGGCCACTTTCATATTTCAAAGAAGTAACTTGACTACTAGCTTTGATCGTTACATTTTTCTGATTCTTTAAATCTTGAATTAAACTGTTCGAGAGGGTGAGGAGGCCATCTTCAAACGCAATAGTGGCCACACCAGCCTTCTCAAACAACTCCCGGATCTTATAACGATTAGGACTGCTCATGAGGCTACGAATAAGAATCGGATCCTTGGCTTCCACCAAGACAGTGCCAGGCTCACTCTGAAATTTGTGCGAACGCCAGAGAGATTTGAATATCGTCTGCCTCGCACTCAATTTGTATACGTCGCCGCCGTATATGCCATGCATCATGCCTGATACTATATTCTTAACTGGCCGATCGTCTCCGAAAAGCCTACCTAAAAACTCGCCCACGGATTCATCTTCAAATGTCGAAGAATCACGCAAAGAACCAGGCGATTTCTTCCGTGACAGGTAAGCTTTAAAAATGGATTTCAAGGCCCCAAAGCCCCCGTCATAGAGGGGTTCAGTAAGAAAGGATTCGACAGCATGGTAAACGTTCTCCAGAGTGATAGCAGTTGTCGGTACCTTGACTAGGTGGTCTGGGTAATATATATAACGAGCAGGGGGAGGGCCTTTACGACCTAGAACTTTCTTCTCGATGCCCAAGTTTAGCAACTGAAGTAGGGGATGTAACCATTAGCGAAGCTCTTATTTTGTCGAAAAAGGCCCAGTCGCGCGAAGGTGTATACCCACTACATCGTAGAAGACGAGGATCTCGGGATTTAAACCTCCAATCCGAAGCACGCGCGGACCAGACTGGAACAAGACTTTATCAGACTTGTCGTGTGTCGATACCAAGTTCCCAGATATCCATCCACCGAGTTTAGGAGACGCATCGTATAGCGTGATATGCGCGTTCTTGGCATGACGGGCTAAGTAGTGTGCCGTAGTCAACCCAGTGATGCCGCCACCAAGAACGGCGATTTCCCGTGTCTTGCCATTGCGCGTTTTGGCGGTTGCAAATGTCTGGCTTTGAACCCAATGAACCCGAGGGGGCTTCCCAGATCGAGAGCAAGCAACCTGCTTTCGAATTGACGAGTGAAGAAGACTACTCGGAGTCACCAGGGAGCTTAGCTGTCGTGAGGTCGGAGATGTCGATATTCGAGTAGATATTCGAGTAGGAGAACCATGTCGTGCATTGCGGTATGTAGACCTCAGAAGACTTACGAGAACGTCTTCTGAGTGTTTGGGAGTCATTGCATACGTAGTATAGCTGGCCGTAGCATTGAAGGTGGCATGTTGAAGTTTACCTCGGAGAAATGTACGAGAAATGTACGGAGTGGCGTGGTGAATTCGAGCTGCCACTGCTTTACATAGAAATTACTTTAACCGTAGGTACTTTGTACTTCGTACCTACCTTTTAGGTACATAAGTCGAAGCTGCCCCGTTGAATAGTCCCAACACCTATGTACCTAGGTACCTATATATACCATACGTAACTATTGCTTAAATGTTCATATCTCTTATGTACCTAATGAATAAAGTCACATTAGTTAGTTATAGTAAAGTAAAGACTCGAGATGAATTGGAAATCTTTGTATTATTGTTCATTCAAGTCACAAAATGCATCTGGGTATATTGTAATGTACTGATGTACTGAAGTCCCTTGACTTTTCCTATCACCGACCTAACGCCTGTATCAATAGCAATTCTAGAATTGAGAATTTCCCCCTCAGTCCTCAGACCTCAGACCTCAGACCTCCCTCCCCTATCCCTCATTCGCTCGTTGAGAATGTTGATTCATTGCCACCCTTTCCCACTTCTGCTGCATCATCGTAAATTCTATCCATCGCGAAAACATTCCCCTTTCCCTCAAAATTCACATGATAGTATCAGTTGTTGCTGCTGCTTCTTGGCCCGACCCAGTCTCTCCACCGGGCACAAGAAGCTCCTCGAGGCCATTCGCATCCACAAATTTCCTTTCGCTCACATGCTCTCTTGTTCCATCAGCAGTCCAGACCTTATCCTGAAATGTTCCCCTTTGTCCCTCTTCGTGCTTGTATGGGCAGAAACGGTTGGTACATGGCTTGTACTTGCACATGGTCTGGAGATGAGTGAACTTGCATCCCTCCACAGCGCAATCGCCTCCATTCCGGCAAGGGGGCATATCCGGGTGCTTAAAAGGGCAGCTCGGGTTGGTGCAATTAGGATAGAACTTGCATTCTTGCTCATTCTGATGCGCGCGCCTGGTTGCCGGTGAGGGATGGCGACCTACACACTTCCGATTTTTGCATGCCGCGCCGTATGAACAGACATCGCTAACATCAACCGTGGTATTCGGCGGTGCCGCCGGAGACTGATGAGCGAACTTGCAATCCCTGTTGGTACATGACAAGTTGAATTTGCAAACCATCGTCTCGGGGTTAGGCGGTTCACGTCTAGCCTGCGTCATATCAACGTCTTCCTTGTCGGCACCCGTCTCGTTGACAATATGCCCATCTCCCTGGTGGAATTTGTGACCGTTGACATGGCCTCCTCGCCTACCACCTCGCGGGTTTTGTACCCGGTCGAAAAGCGACCTTCCGTTAGGTCTTCCATTAGGCTGGCTCTGCTGGGTAAGCTGCTGATACATCTGCCCCATCATTTGGTTCTGCTGTTGGAGGAGCTGGAATAATTGCTCCGGAGTACCGCCGCCAGACATCATCCAATTCATATCATTGCCCAGATTAGGCATTCCATTGGCGTCGTGCATATTCGGTAAGGCTCCACCAGCTTGACCTAGATGAGCAGCAAACCCAGCCGCACGGTTGTTAGCTGCACGATTGTTGGTACGTCCGAAACCGCCCCTCGGCCCGGTAGGAGGTGCTCGATGGGAGTTGATCCTTTCATTGCCAGTTCCTCGGACGCGGTGCAACACATTGTCGTGACTACGATCCATAGCCTTGCTCATCTGTCCGAGCATCCGCTTTTCTCGGTTGCCTCGCATATTGGGATTTCTCATAGATCTAGGACCTGTGGGACTGGTTCGTGTTAGCTTACGTTAAAAGGCATAAGGAGATGAAATTCTAATAGTAAGAACTTACGCGTTAAGCTCGGGACCGTCGAGGGACATAGTCATATCCGCATCCTGTTCTGCGGAAGACGGCGCGTTTTGGGGAACTCCAACACCGTTGTTTCCCAATTGCTGGGGCGGGGCTCCGTTTAGTTGAGAGTTCAAAGACTCAATCTGGTCAAAGAGCCACTTCGCGAAGTCTCGTGCGCCAGGGTCGTCAGGGCCAAGGCTAAGAAGATCGCCAGCTAATTCGGCAGCAATCTGATCCTGAGTTTTACCATTAACAAGCATCAAAATGATATATTCGGACAGCGCGCTGTCGTCGGCGCCACCTGATGCCCAGCCCACTTCCACCAGCTTCGGCTGGATTGCCATGTTAAGCGCATCCGCCAGTGGCGTATTCATAGAAACCTCGATAGACATCTTGGGCTAACTCTATTTTCGACGTAAAGTAGATTATTGGAAGGTGTAGGTAGGTAATAGTCGGCGAAAGATACTGTTATAGGGTAAGAATATGAAAGCGATCCGCGCGTCAAGTTAGATCGCGAGGCGACAGCGGTGGCAAAGCACCACAACACGGATTAATAGGGTTGTTGTTGTTGTTGAGGTTTGTGATTTTCGACGAAGACTCGGCGCAGTGAGTAACGGTGTAAATCGTCAAATAGACGTGTCGGATTACCTAGGTAGCAAGCGTCAATGCTGTTGTCGGGGAAAAAAAAAAGAATGACGTTGTTGGAGGTGAGAGGATCTAGAGGAGGCCGGAATATGGGAGAGCAATTTCCCTTGTCACAATGGCACGCACCGCCTCAAATATAGATAAAGAATAGCAAGTACACTTGTACCTTCAACCACTAAAGATTACCAGGCAGGATTATGTAACCAATCTAGGTAGCAGTTGTGCCTGCCTGTGGGTAGTCCGTGCGGAATAGTCACGTGTGTGACTCAGCAAGTCCGAGCGTCAATGATAAACGTAACCTTCTTGCTTGCTTAACTACCTCCTAATTTGAAAGTTTTGTTTTTTTAATTCGCATTTCCCAATGAGGATTAATGTCAAAACTTTCCTAAGTTAAATTCGGTCTGTAGGGTGGTCGGATTTCCACGCTAGTAAAACCTTACGAGTTTGCATTTACCCTATTGGCTCGAGTTTAGCCGTAATATCCAAATGCGGTTAGTTGGCAGCAAAGGTAGAATACGTATCCCGTAAACTCACGATAGCCTCAACATTTTACTTATTGCGCTGTAGGTAATCGGAATCTAAAACTGAAGCCATCGGCTTTGGTTTTCAACGTATTTAATTGGAAAGTTTTCGCCGGCAAAACTTTCCAAGTAGCACAACAAGTTGTGCTACACGGCATTTTATAAGTACCTAAATATCCTACGGTAATACCTAGGTAGTTAATATATCTTCAAGCTCATTCATACCTAATAGCATCAATAAATTACCTTTCTACAAATACATTAAATGCCTATCTATCAAACACAAAATCATGGTCCACTAGTTCCAAGTGAAGCAATCCACAATACGTTCAGTATCAGTATCACGAAAGACGACCGGGTTACGGATTACAGCATAGCATCAAAAGCAACCTCGACGTCACAGTTTCTCTTCTTTTCAGCATGAATTTCTTACTTTGCAGGGGCAGACGAATCGTCATTTATCTACCTAGCTAACTTAGAACATTTAATATGAACGTTCATTGATCCTGCCTATTGAGCGAGGTTGGGCATTTTGTTTAGTCTTATTTCCCTGATTCATATCCAAGAGGATAGGGGTAACCAGGTCATATCTCTCATACTCTCATACGCTCTCTATGTATATATATTCTTTCCTGCTAGCGCTGGTCGCCGTATAGTGGATTTGCGCCCTTCTCCTTCCCCTGCGTCTTACTAGGTATCCATACCGGATTTCCCATTCGTTAAGTCGTAGAACGTGGTTCGTTGCCTGATTAATTATCCGGTGTCTCTTTTGAGACCTGCCTTCGTCTCATATGTTTTGATCGCGCATAGGTTTATTCCACGAGTTAATCACTACGTAGTAGTTTCGGACACTTTCGGTTCCTCCCGTTTGGCATCTTCTTTAATGTCGTCCTTCCCTTCGGTAGCTACTTTGGTAATACTACCATGGTCGTCGCTCTCTAGTTTCGCGTATTCATTCCTACCATTGCGTTCCGGGACGGTGCTTCTCCGTGGACTGCCCGCACTGGAAGACCCGCTTTCGTCAGCCGAGCCCGCGGCATCGAGCAGGCTCTCGTCAAAGCTATCTTGCGTAAGCGGCCTTCTCTCGTGACCCTCGCTAGCTCGGTGTTGTACATCTGACATTTGAATCTTCTCCATGCTGGTAAACCCGCGTGAAGAAAGTGCAGGGCTGCTTAATGGTGTGTTCTTTTCGCTGCTGGAATCTGTGTTCCCAGACCTTGATTTACGACCACCAAATCCCCAACCACCGCCGCCACCACCTCCTCCTGTCCCGTTGGAAGTATTACTCGACCGGCCCCATCCTTGTTTCCGCTTTTGGTCCGCCCACGAAGTCCAGCTTCCAATGTAAGCGCCGGCTCTCGCCCCAACAGAACTCGGCGCACTTTGAGCCTTTGTTGAATCCGCGGTATGTGCTGCGGTCCCATTCTTCTCCGCCGCAGCCTGGGTCGCTTGGGACTCCTCGGCGCGCTTCCTTTGCGCCTCACGGAGGGCTTCCATATCGGCATATAGCTTGTTGAACATGGTACTTGCTTTATCGCGTCCCGCTGCTAGATTCCTGCCTAGCACTTCCCGGCCAACTGCGAACCTCTCATCCAGATGTAAATCTTGTACCTGCTGCTGAATCCGTCGTTGAACATCATCAATCGAAAGTCCGCCAGCGCAGGGATGCCTCGGTTCTACAATGTCAAATAAATGTGAGTCCGTATGCGACTCCCATATCCGGTAGTTTTCGGTTCTCATCCAGTATTCCACCCATTCATTGCCAAAGTCTATAGAGGGGTCTCCCTCGATGTGTGGAAGGGTTGCTTTAGGATTGTGCGCGTTTTTAGCGAGGTAGTTATGGTATTTAACGGAAGAGATGAGAGATAGGAGGTACTCTTCAAACTGAAGACGGATGAACTCTTCGCTACCACGGTATCCCATCGTCTTCGGCCGGCCCGGATTGGATTCGTCCCATGTGTCATTTACCTCTTGTGTGATAAAGTCGATCCATCGTCTGTCGGAGTGGGAGAGTACTAATGCAGTGCGGAGTGATGTAGAAGTAATATTGATGGTGCTTTCGTCGAGGTTGATTAGTATGTCGCTATACCGGTCTCTTTGCTGTAATAGTAATGAGTTCGTACTGCCAACTATATATGATTTCGTGCCGAAGTCCGCAAGAATATCCAATTGCTGTAAAGGCGTATATGGTCCGAAGAGGCTCCCCTATATAGACAATTAACCCATGCCCCCATTTATAAATCAAACTGTTTTACCTTGCCAAATATTTGTAACGGAAGTCCCATGTATGAGAGCAACGAGTTTCGATCACTAGTTCTCAAACTCGTCGGTTGAGTCAAATTCTTCTCGTAGTTATTCAGCTCCGGCCCTGCACAGTCTTGGAGATTCCTAAGCAATCCGGGTATTAAAGAGATAAGGGAGAATTGCATCATGCATAGGCGCTCACACCGCGTGCCGAAGAAGAGCATCTAGTATCCTGGTGAGTATAAGTCGGGTCGACAACGAACCGTATCAAACTACTTACCTTGGGCTGCAAGAGGCAGCACTTTAAGAGCACTAAAGTCTGCCAGCGGAATTCCCTCACGAGTTCTCGAAGGCTCATGCCTAGATATTGATCCCTGTCTACCTCCTCGTTCATCTGGCCGCGTGCCTTCTCCTCAGCAAGGCTCTCCTGGAACCTCCGCAGGATCTCGGTATCACCGAACTCGCGTTGGGCAAACCACGCACTGGTAACAACAGATAATCGTTCCCTCAGCATGCCAAAGAACTGTGGGCTATCTGCTATTACTACGACTGCCTTCTGTACCGTTGAGCGCGTCACGTCGGAGGGCCGAACCAGCAATTGCGAAGCATCCAATTGCCTCGTACATGCTATTCCGAAGAGCGATGTCGCAGGAGAGCCGTCTTTAGCTGGTCGTAAAAGAGTGAAATACGAGAAGTCTTCGGTTGATCTATATAGTCCAATGAGCTCGGATTTGTACTAGATACAGACAGATGCTATACTGAAAAGTAAACTCACGCGTGGGCTCCGTCACTTAAAGCCATGAACGGAAGCAATGGCCAGTCATACTCGACTGCTGGGTCTTGTCCTTCTTCTATACCAAACCATCTCTCAACTTCAGGGCCTCTGTGGTGGTGAAAATCCACAACCGTTACTAATGGTACGAAGCCCGCTCTACTGCTCCCGGTTCCCTCCCCAGCAGGGCCAGAATTGGGTGTAGCCATAATAAATACCCGCGTGCCTAGAGGCAGCCTAAATTACGGACGGAAGAGACGCGCACGTGGAAACTCGGACGAAGTAGGTTGACGATAATAAACGCGTATATAAGTCGATCGTGTCAATGCCGAGCTAGCAGGAATAATTTCTTTACTTCGAGTCTTTACTTCGAGCCGTAAACAGTTAAGAAGCTCGGCGGAACGAGCGGAGGCGGTGAGTTGGTAGCATACAGAGTCTCGGGGAATATAAGTCTAGGCAAAGGTGCGGCGGTTAGGGAGAACCAAGTCAAGATTCTCCAATAGCGGATAGCGGGACAAAGATGTAAGTTCGCCAATGCTCGAGACTAGCTGAATGCCTAGAATCGAGTCGGATTGGAGCTAGGCTGAAAAGTTTAGTGATGCCAATGGCCGGTTTCCAGTCCAGGTGTAAGCAGGTTCCCAAATGTCTGACAGCAGTTTTTTTTTCCCCATCGACGGTCAACAAGGAAATGTTAGAAAAAGGAAAAAATAACAAGGCAGCTCAGCTTAGGTCACATAAATGCCATTGGTGGAGTAATATACATGATCTTCAATGCCTCATGCGGCATCGAGATGTTGTTTTCATGTAGCGGACTGTTGTTATGGTATGTTATGTATGTACGTATTGGATTTTTGTATTTTTGTATTTGCTCATGGGAGAAATTCCAGAAGATTGGATAATATCGAGTTTCTTTCAGGTGCTGCAGGGTGGCCCCACACCCAATGAATTAGCGATGTCAATAAGACCCCACCTACCCACTATCCACCTATCCACCTATCCATAATCCACCGCGGTCAATTATTAGTGTCAATTGGTTTTAGCACCGATAGTCCTATTGAAAAACAGCCCGTACATACCTAGATGCGTGTCTATCTGCATTGTGGAAGTTCCATGCAGACATCATCTTCCAATCACGTGTAGCGATTAAGAATTTACGACGAACTTTCTATTTATTTATTCTTTAAAACATTCGCGTTAAGTTGTAGGGTTGGACTTCCTAATATGTATACCTAAAGTATCTCAGACCTACATGTACAATACAGCCAACTTACAGAAAATGCTAGCTAAACCAACGCCATAATAAGGATCGCCTCATATTACTTTACAGACCGCACTCCCATAGTATTACATACTTCAGATACATACAACAGATACTAATACCTAACAACATCTTCAACACTGGAAGTTCCCTTCGGATATCCCGCTGCCGCGTTCTCCCTCGTCCAACCCGCGCTAGGTCGGTTTAGGGGGCTATGTACGAAAGGAAAGGGACAAAAAAAAAGATGTGGCGAATGTATGCCATGCCAACTGTCTTGCATTGCATAAACGACGTCGACTTATCATAGCTCTTCCCGCATCGCA